CCAGTTTATTTTATATTGTGAGAACAAAATTTGCCATACTGTATCTTTCTGGATTGTGTGCTTATATCACCATAATTTCGATCAGTTTTATACCTTTGAATTTGGCTAAAATTACATTTAATTTGTCTGTGTTTATTTATTCTCAGGTTCGTCAATATGAATACGATCTTATTCTTAGTCCAGACGTCAACACCAGTAACTATGTGCAATGGTTTTACTTTCGCATCTCTAATATCGAGGCAGATGGTGTTGAATATCGCTTTAACATAATAAATTGTGAAAAACCCGCCAGTCAATTTGCTTCGGGTAATTTATTCAGTCTTTTAGTTGATTAACTTATAGAAAGCTCCATTAGTTTATTCTCCATAGACAACTAAATCGTCTAATATACTTACTTAATTTCAATCAACTTCAACTATTATAGAGGTTTTTTGACCTTGTTTTCGCAACATGGTCATATTGGTAAGAAGACTTATTGGAACGCACCTAGTCCGGGGTCCATTGTCTGCATAATCATTTCCAAAGTTTAACCGTACACAAAAGGAGACTGCGACCACACAAAAGGCCACACCATCTTGGTCTTCATACCTTCAACTATTATAGATGTTCGAATTTATTACTCTAAGCTAAATTAGATTAAATTAGGATGGGCATTGACCATGTTCGTTCAAAGCATTCACTCGTTATTCTTCGTGCGAATTCTTTCTAGATTTATTGATTCTAATTATGCCCTGGCTGGTGACTTTATTTAATTAAACTATTGAAACAATGCTACTTAAAATATACTGAATCTTATATGTTCTTTCTCGACAAATTCAGGTAAGTTATATTCCATTATCTAAGGGCATGTAAACACTTTTTAACGCCTTGTGAAAATCAGTGAGGAAAAGGTATCTATAGCCACGGATTAGAGGCGTTTGTCGCCCTGTCGAAGCTTTTGAGAACGTGGATAATCGAATTTATGGTTTAGACTACACGAGAGCGTATTGGGTTTAAAAATGAATGGGCCTTTGAATTCAACGGAAGGAGAAAAGGTGATAACAACAAAGGATGCATTAATACGAAGCCATTTTTACTAGCTCGACTCTCTTTTAGTTTCTAAAGAATAATGAATTAATCTAATGTATAAAGACCAAGATGATGTGGCTTTTTGTATGGTCGCAGGCTCCTTTTGTTGTATAGAAGATGTTTGACCTTGGTTTTGCAACTTGGTCATATTGGTAGGAAGATCTAGATGAACTTACCTAGTCCGGAGTACATAGAATCTATGATTATTTCCAGAGTCGGACCGTGGACCTGTTACATCTTTAATAGTGAATTAATTTTGCCAAAAGTTTGCTCTATGGAATAGACGAAATATATGAACCTATGTTAGATACACTTTATTAACAGGGGAAAATTCGCCTTTGGAGTATCGATCTAAGTAAGAATTATGAGAAATTAATATAAGATTCGAGACTTATATTTAATTTGATACAATTTTACACTTATGAGAAGTGAAATACATTTCTATTGTATTAATATTACTTTACATGTATTTTGATTCCATCTATGCCTTGGGTTTAGACCTTAATACGTGGTTGTCTAGAGGTACTGATCCCGCACTCTTAACTTAACCGTCCTAGAAAAGCCGGATTACTGTAAACATAAGTTCAAAAACAAAAATGGGCCTTTTATCCACATGTATCGTTTGGATATATTGATAAAATGAAGTCTGGCCTCCCCGATGTAATGAAAGCATC